TCAAAGCTTTTGGATGCTTTAATAACGAATTCCTTAATCTTTCGTATCCTTTCTGGAATAACGATTTCTGGTTTTTCGTCATACCATACTTCAAGAAGAAAGATTCCATTATCTTGACAAATGCATCTTTTTTATCGATCACGATTAACAATATCCTCGAGTTTTTTGATGTCTTTATACCAGCTGGTGCTATGAAACCGATGCTGGGCTCCTTGCACCTCCAATGCAATTCAATATTTTTGGAAGAAGGCATCAAACTCTAATCCGTTTAAGAAAGGAGGGCGATACTTTAAGAATTTCCTTAGCTATCTGGATACATCTGTTCTGGAATTTGCGATTTTTCTTAAATTCTCTTTCTGCTTGATTCTGCTCTAGTTTTAGAATTCTATCCTCAAACTCTTCAAGCCTAGCATCATGTCTGTTATTCTTTTCCATAATCTGCTTTATAGGTTCCGCATTTCTGAGATCAAGTTCGGTAATACGTTGCCTCAATGAATCTATTTCAGATTGCATATCGACTTACTATAATATTTTTATACTCGATATATTAGTATTCAAATCAGTAAAAAATGTAGGTTATACCGAAACTTGTTAACCACAGTAACGGTTTTGCCAAGAAAATTTTACATGATCTGCTTGTAATGCAAAAAAAAAATCTAATTAATGATCATGCAAAACACCTTTCGACTGCTCTGGACTAGCTAGATTATTCAGACTCTAATTCAGTTTCAGAGCCAGAGCTAGAAGATTCTGAATCAGAGCAGTACTCTTCATCAAAATTTTCGATATGAATATTTGATGCATGGTTTTTTTGCTAATATTTTCACATCCATCCAAATCTAGAAATTTTAAATTGAGACATGAGCAAGCAATTTCTCTGATAGTTGTACTGGTAATATTACAGTATCCGAGTTCAAGATGCTAGAATCTTGGGCAGAAACGTATAACATTACAAATTGATAGTTCACTGACAAATGAACAACCATCTAGCTCAAGATATTCCAATTTATGACAAATATGGGCCAACGCTTCAGTAATCTCATCATCAATATCATTACCACTAATTTCTATATGTCTCAAATTCAGAGATCGTTTGATAATAGCTATAATTAATACATCATTCTGCAAAGCCATAACTCCACTAAAGTCAAGATACTTTATATTAAAACATCTTCGTATTAAAGTACTAGCATCTTTAATATTTCTACAACTAAACGCAATATTAAGTTTTCGTAAATTTAGGCATGAGTTTAAGATGCAACTTATAGATCTATCTGTGATTCAACGTGCTTCGGCAAAATAAAACTCTTGCAAATCATGACAATTTCCTGTGATTTCAAACAAAGATTTATCGCTAATATTTCTGCAATAAGAAATATTTAGATATTCTAATTTATAACATGATTGCACAATTGCATATAAACCTTTATCAGTTATTTGAGCATCTCACAAATTAATATATCTCAAATTAGGATATGATTTCACTATTACAAATAGTGATTTATCACTAAAACCTATACTATCTTTGAAATCTAAATGAATTATATTCAGAAATGTTTCCACAATACTTTTTATTTTTTATTTGAAAGTAAATGGTAAAAAGTAATTTCTAGATAAGTTGTATTTGAAACATAAGCTGGTTTATGCTTTTCGCACATTACTTTTACAAATCTTTCCCATCGAGTACGATCTCTTGTATAATAATTATAATCTTCTGGAAAATAATGACCATATCTTAGGTCATTCCTCTTTAGCTCAATATGTTTCCATAGAATAAAAGCACTGCATCTGTATAACAATCGGGATACAAATAGAGTAGGATACAGTATCTTATCTACTGCTAGGAAATATAGAATCCGCTCTAATAGTTCTGGTATAATAAAAATGCTTGAATGCGTCATAAATAGTATATGCTGTATATTTAATCGAAAAATAGCAAAGCATCTTCGGGGAAATTACGCAATTACTACTCCAGATTAGTTAGATCAGTAGAGTTCTACAATTCTGCTTGACTGACTAGTATTCTATCAAAATAATTTCTCAGTGATCATCTGTTTATAGCTATAATGGGGTGATTAGCACCAGAGTCAACTGTTATAAATATATTGGAATTAGGTTGTCAGAATGACTGGTGAAACTGAGTTCTAATATTAACAATTGGAGGCCGTCTTGATATTAGCTCTATCATTCGTTCTATCTCAGCTCAAATATCATTTGGATCTCAGAAATTCTCGACATTGGTATTTGGATTTAACTGATCTATGACTTCTTTGCTAATATTATCACACCTTTCCAAATTGAGATACTTTAAATTAAGACATGAACTAGCAATTTCTTTGATTGTTATATCAGTAATTTCACAACAGGTAATGTCAAGATGCCGGAGCTTTGGAGAGGAACAAATAATACTGCAAATTGAATATTCAGTAATCTCTGTGTGATAAGCAATATTTAAATATTCTAATTTATGGCATGACTTTGTGATTTTCTATAGACCTTCATCATCCACTTCTCAACCACGAAAATACCTAAAGCTACCTAACTGATTATCGCACAAATTGAGATACTTCAGATTCGGGTATGAACCTGCTATCAGTTCTAATACTCTATTACTAAATTCTATGCTATTTATGAAACTCAAATGGGTTATATTTGGACATGAATGTACAATGATTATGATTTTTTTATCTGAAAGTGAATGGTAGTATGATATTTCGAGATGAGTCACATTTGAGCAATAAAATGCCATTTGCTTTTCACATACTAACTTTATGAATTTTTTCAATTGAAAGAGATCCTTTGCACGTTCTATTCTTATAAATTTATTAAATCGAGGACAATCCTTTGCACAGTAATTATAATCATTTAGAAGAAATTGCCAGGATATGTCTTTTCCCTTTAGCTCAATACGCTTTCATAGGATAAGAACACTGCATCTGTACCACAATCAGAAAACAAATAGAGTAGAATAGAGAGATTTATTTATCACTAAAAAATGTAAAATCTGTTCTAATAGTTCCGGTATAATAAAAATTCTTGATTGCGCTATAAATAATATACTCTGTATCTTTAATCAAAAAAAAATAACCTCTAGAAGAAGAGCTAAAAAAACACGTCAGACTTCAGCTAATTTTTTTCAAATATTGAGTAGTGGTACCTGGATTAATATATTTTATTTTAAGATATAATTCAATTTCCTTGATGGTTGTATTGGATATTTTACATTCATAAATAACGAACTCTTGAATCCTCAGACAAGAAAGAATAACATTCCAAATCGCTATTTCAGAAAATTCTTTACAACTAGAAATATTCAGATATTCTAATTTATAGCATGAATTTGTGATTACATATAGACCTTTATCAGTTATTAATCTATTATCATCATACCCTCCCAAGTTGAGGTACTTCAGATTGGGATATGATTCTACTATTCAGTTTAATGTTTATCACTAAATCTCACACTATAATGTAAATTTAAATGTACTATATTTGAGAACAGGCCTACAATGCTTTTGAATTTTTTATCTGAAAAATGGTAATCTGGAATTTCTAGATGAGTTACAATCGAGCAATAAACTGGCTTCTGCTCCTCATGTATTATTTTCATAAAATTTTTTTATGTATTACTCCTTTTTAGCTCGATGCGTTTCTATAAAATAGGAGCACTGCATCTATACTACAATCGGAATACGAATAGAGTGAAGTAGAGGGATTTATCTTTTGCTAGGAAACATAAAACCTGTTCCAATAGTTCTAGTATAATAAAAATTCTTGATTGCGTCATAAATAGTTTGTATTATATGTTGTATCTTCAAATGAAAAAATAAAATAAATTAGTTAGTATGACTTTCTAATGCTTCAAGTTTAACCAGTCTATCTACTAGTTCATCTAAAGGAAGATCTAATCCACATAATCTTACTTCGAACTGATTTGCAGATGAGAGTCCACAAATAAATTGATTTTTATTCTGACTTTCATCCCATTTAGAAAGCTTTATATACTCCTCGTACTTCTTATAAAAATCTTTTACCGAATCATCACCCTGCTCCAATCCCCATGGGTGTTCTCATAAAGAATAGAAGCTGTTATCTAAGTATTCAACCAATTCATCGAAGGGTCTCTCAGTTCTAAATCTGATTGCATCCTTTTTATTGCTGAGTGATAAACTATCAAAGAAAACCTTTTTAAGCTCTTCGCTTTGTAAGCCTGTACCTGTTTCTGAAACATATTGTTTTATTGCATCAGAATATACTTTTACTGATTGGTCTTGCTGGACTGGTGGTAGAATTTCTTTGCTCTTATTAGGTTCTAAAACTGGAGAGCTTACCAAATCTTCCCATTGTTATGATTAAGGATAAAATATCATATTTTAATTAAAAAAATCTCTAAGTTTATGATCACTACTCCAGACTATTGGTTGAAAAAATCAGTCATAGCTCAGATCTGACTATCAGATAATGTCAAAGTGTAATTTACTTCTTCGAATGGGATCGCAAAATTATCGTCTAATAATAGTTTTGAATGATAGTGTATATCACCACTCAGTCTGATTGGCTAATTCATCACTACAAACCGTTTAACCTTTCTTTGTCATACTTTTCTTTGGTGTTTATAAGAAACAGTCTTTTTATCTCTTACCTGATTTATCTCAACTGAATTAGAATCTTCAAAAGACTCAGATAAATAGGAGGAACCTTTATATTTTTTGATCTTTGGCGAGAAAGCTATTTCTTGTATTAAGTTGACCACAGTTTCCCTATCCACACATTCGTCTAAATCTTTTAATTCGTCTTTTAAGGATCTCACATATTTCTCCAATCTTTTTACCCTCCTTTTTAAAGTATTAGGTTGAGAATGATAATCTTCCAATTGTTTCTTTAGTATCTTATTTTCAACAGAAAATGCACTATACATATTTGCATCTTGTTCAGGTCTAAGTAATTTGGCTATTTTCTCTGTACGTCTGATAACTTCCTGCTCAATATCTGTACTATTAGATGAATGCTTTTGATCGATTACTATTTTGTGATATATTATATACGCTATATCTTGCTTCAAACAAAAAAATAAATTAATAAATGATATCAAACCCATATATATGATTAGTTTTCATCAAAGAACTTGAATGCCTTTGCCTGGTCATAAGGTTGCCCCTTTCGACGGAAATTGATTATAGTATAGTTTTGCGCTGGGGAGGCATGATTGTCTGGTAAATGTCGAAGGGCTTGGCTGACAATAGTCATAGCTTCTGATAAATTCTTCGCACCATGTAAAACGACCGCAAATACTGCCCCTAATTTGCACAAATAGCTAGGGAGGAGTGGTTTACCAGTTTCAAGAAGAAATCTATCTTTTTTTAGGAATGTATTGAACCATTTGACTCCTCGTACTCCTGGATCCCTCAACTGTCCAGAAGAAATTGCACCCTGAATCCAAGTAAGGAGAAGTTTAGCCCGCTCTTCATCTCTTTCTAACGATCTAAACACTCGAGGATTATCCTGCTGATCTCGGTTTTTTGAATATCCAGTTACACTTCCATTAGAAATGCGCAAGTCTTTAATTTCAGCGGGACGGATGCAGAGCATGATCATTACATCGGCTAGAGCTTGAATGTTGGGTGTATTAGATATATCATACGAATCTAATCTCTCCTTGACCGATTCTAGCAAGAAGTGATCAGGATAATCGATCCATTCATTTTCACATTGTTCCCTATGCTCCTTTTGAATTTTATTAGCTGAACAGTTTCTATCTGGAATAAATGTAGCTGAGATAATTTTTTCTGAGACTCCGAGGTTTTGCATCTCTCTTCGAAGTCTAATGAGGCGTGATAAACCGGCGCTATCATTAGAGGCAGATTCAGCTAAGGCTTTTGCTATAGATTCTGCATCTTTTTCGCTAAGATTATCCTGGGTAATTCGCTGAGCTATCATTTCGACAGTTTCTCCGTCTGGAATTATGTCGGATACTTAGCATATATTAACTTTCCCCACTTCATCCCCTCCTTCTTTGGGGGTTACTCGACTTCTACTTCGACAAATTCTCTGATCAGAAACTAATATAAATGCCTGCTCTTTGCTAAAATTATACCCTTTTTGAAAGTACTGTCGACCCTTGTCTCTTTTCACTT